CTCACTTTGCTTTCTTGATTGATGATTGTGAATCAAAGTCAATTGACCTGAATATGTGTTTAATTAGAGCCTTATGCAAGTGATTGTTAGATTTATGTTTACAGTTGATGAATGATTCGACAGGTAGCTTAATGGGATGATTAGATTAGTGCTTAATGATGTTGTTCATTGTTTTGTGAATGTAAGCGGTGGTCAATTATCATTAATCTCAAAGAAAAAACCTTAGCTAATTAGGAGGTGGCTTGGGATGATCGAAGTGCATGAGTTCCGAAGGCTGACCTCAAGCAGGCTATCTTGTTTGTTGAGTGAATGGTGCTAATTGACTTGAGTTGATTGAGCGCATGTGAATGAATGAATGACATGAATGAAACCGACACCATAAATGGTGACCGAATAAGGTGGTCCATGGAGGAGGCTTCCGAGAATCTTGAAGACGATGACCAAAGACTGATGTCTATTCCGGCCTCAATTATTGTAATAGCTAGTGTAGTTTAGTTTAGATTAGTTAGTTAACAATTAGGTTCGAGTTAGCTTAGTTTCACAGCTAATAAAATCAATTAGATTTAGCATCACATTTTAATAAATAACTAGGGTAGTTTAGCATAAGCACTTTCATGATCAATGAATTAGAATTAGGTTCACCTTAGTCTCAATAGCAAGTTTCCAAGAACTCATGTCTCGAGGCTAAAAAACAAAGCCATGTCTATTATTTACTCGACATTGTATCGGGTTTTCATTTGCAAGACCTGACAAGTTGCAGGTTTTCCTTTTATTGCGCTTAAAAGAGCTCGCTTTAAATACTTCGGTGTTCACTACATTGCTCGTTAATTTCTTTTTTAGCCTAGGTTAGAATTAGTTTGGAATCTTAGGTGCGTTTGTTTGAGAGAAAGTGTTTTCTGGGAATTCATTTCCCGGACTTTCACTCGTTTGGTTCGCTGAAAATGATAAGTCAATCGAAAACACTTTCCAATCAAGAAAAACATTCATGTATAAAACTAACAAAATGAATTCCCTAATCTAAGAAAGTGAAAAGACTTTCCGGAATTGCTCATCTTGAATTTATTTTTTCTTTTCTTTTCTTTTTCTTTTTTCTTTTCTTTCTTTTTTGTTCTTTTTTTCTTTCTTTCTCCCTCTGCCGGTCTTCGGCCTCGGCGACAGGCAACAAGTGTGGGTTGGCAAAACAAATTCATTTTGAAATCATTCTCAAAATGAGATCCAAACACCAAAAAAAAATTTCGATCACATATCACAAAATAAAAGAAAACTAACCGTTTTTCTGGAAAATGATTTCCCGGAAAACATTTTCAGAAACATTAACGTTTTCTATGAAACAAACGCACCCTTAGTGAAAAACTCTAAAAACATCTGCATGATTATTAGAAGCGGCTTTTGAGACCTTTGGGATCATAAAAGGTAAATTAATATTGTATGACCACCTGAGGAAAAAAACAAACTAATTTAGGTACCGAAAGGACACTAATAAAAATACTAGCGTAATCAAGTCCTCGCGCATAGAATCTTTGGTTGCGTAGAAATTGAGACAACACTCCCACGTCTTGATTAAATTCTAACTAACCCCCAATAATGATTAGTGGCAATCCCTAAAAATAATAGGTTGTTAAAGAAAATTAAAAAAAATCCTGTGTCACGCGATGTATGGATTTGGAAGCGTTCGCGCTCTTGATTGATGGACCGATTTGTTGACGCCTGATTTTTAGCTCATTTTTTTCATATTTTTAAAAATCTCAAAATTAGGACTAGGAATCTTGGCCAAGCCTAGAAACCTACTTCTAAACCAAAAATATTTTTTTTAGCATTTTCCTGCATTTTTCCTTAATTTCTTTTAGTCAAAATAAGTGAGAAAATCAAGAAAAATAGCAAATGAAATCAGAAAATTCCATAAAAATAGTCTTTAGTCTTATTTTAAATCCAATTTCATTAATACATCATCAATTTTGAAAAATCTCAATCGGGTATATGTTTTTCCAAAATTGGGCAAAATCAAACCCGAATTGAACCAAAATGCAATTAAATCTTTTCTAGTCATCTTTAAGTCGTAGTGTCTTCACAACAAATGTTTCTGAGACCTTGAATTACATAATGGCTGGTCCAATTGCACAATTTGTCAAAGAAATCAGAAAACCCCAAAATTCAATTGAAAATTAAGAATTTTGAGCCCAAATTGGGAATCGTGCCCAATATGAAATTGTCGAACCATGAGACCATCGTTCCTAGGGTTAATCATATGTGGGTAATTTAATTTTGGCACCAATTTTTCCTAATCAGGTCATTAGGACATCGAATTGAACAAAACCCCAATAATCCGAATACAAAAATTTAAAAATCTTGGACATGATTTTAACAAAAATTGGGGAAAATCACATATTTGGGTTCAAAATGTGATGGGGAATTCAATTTTGGAATTTAATTTGAAAAAATCGGTCAAAATTGATCTCAATTTGAGTTTTTAATTAAAATCGGGCTTTCCGGGTCGACCAGGTCAACCCGACTCGACCCGACGACCCGTCTTCTTCACCCGGTTTGCCCTCAATAAAACCCAGAAAAAAGCAGTTCAACCCCGCGACTTTGCCGACTTTCTCCGATCAAATTAGCACGTTTTAATCGAGTTGGCCAGCTGGAGATTCTCCAGCTAGCGTCGGAAATCGGTTACAACCGATTGGAAGGCGGTGGTAACTGATTTTAGGCAGGAATTTTGATCAATAAAAGGCTGGAAAAAACTGAACGAGGGAGGGGAAGGTGTTCGACGAATGGCCGAAGAGAGAGAAGAGAGAAAAGCAGAGAGAAATAGCGCGAAGTTGAGAGAGAGAGAGAGAGAGAGAGGAGTAGAGATCCCTGGACCGAGTGATCGGCGCCGGTCGTTTGAACGGCGCCGGCAAATCGATCAAACAAGGAGATCTCCTCCTCGGGAAAGCTTGATCGTGAAGGTCTGAAACCGGACTTAGGCGGCTTGACCAGGTACCCTCGAACGGAGCTGAAGCCATCAACTTGAAGCCCAAGTGTCAAGGAGCAACTTCATGGGCGCCGATTAGCCCGAGAACTCCGATTTGTATACATTCGAGGCAGGTAAATATTACTCATGGTCACGGTTTTTCTAGAAATTCCAGAAAACATGATATGACTCAATCTTGATGTTCATGTTGTTCTAATCATGATTTTGTATTTCTTGATGTTCAAAACTTGTTTCTAATCACGTTTTATGTCGTTTGATTGCATTTTGGTGGATAAGCTTGCATAAACCGAACCAGTTGTCCATGAACCATCTCGCCGAAGTTCATCCAACCCTCGCCGGAGCATTGCCGTGGCCGTAGGGTCATTCAAGTTAGCCTCCTTGACCTTGTTTGATGTTTTGTTAGTCATTCGAACCGGATTAGACGACTAGGGCGAGTAGGATGGTCATTCAGATTCTGGAAATGTAAATCCTAGCCAGTGAAAGTTAGTGTTTTTGAGACTGGATTTCGCCAGCCGGCGAAGGTCTGGCGACACTCCGGTTAGGCTAGATTGGTAATGGGTAATATGGACTATGTAGTGAATTAATCGGAATGGCAAAATACTCGCCGGAAGGTCGCCGGAGACGGGCTAGAATCGGCGGCCTCGAAAATGCTTAATACAGAACTATGCACACCAAGTGCTCGAGGAAATGTCTCAATGAAATTTCCCGGGAACGATGCCGTTTCGGCGCTGCGTTCACCGGAGAAGATGACCGGCGCCGGCCCCGGCGAAGCCCAGTTCGGCCAAGCCGAACCGGGTTGAACTAGGGGTGAGCATGGTCCGGGTTGGGCCGGTCCACCCCTTAACCCTAGGACCAACCCGCACAGTGTTGGTTCTCAATTTTTGGGACCGAGGACCGGACCGACCCAATGGGTTCGGTCCGGTCCAGGGTCAACCCAGGACCAACCGATAATTTTTTTATTTCATTTTTTGTACCAGGTTTAACTAGGGACCAACCGACCCAATGGGTTCGGACCGGACCGAGCACGGCGAGTGGCGAGAGGCAAAAGGCTAGCAGCGAGCGGGACGAGCACTTTCAATAACGAGACTGCAACCCACAAGATGCAAGGAAATTCACAGAAAGACCAGCATTTTCACGACCAAATCACTAGCAAATGTCAACAAAGGAAACATGCTGTTGAGGAAAACTCCTATTGATTTTGAAGTTGACAAAATCTTCAATGTTATTGTAAATCTGATACTTATTCTGAACTATTCTATTCCAGGAATGTATATATATTATGGAAGCTTAAAAGGAAGTTTTTCAGACTTTACAAGCTGGTAAATACATTATTGAAGACCCACATAATCTAAGTCCTGAGACTCAGACGCTGAAATTATTCAGACGCAGACGGAGAAATTTTCAGAAGCAGATGCAGAAGCTGAAATTTTTCAGAAGCAGACGCAGACGTAGAAATTCTTTAGATGCAGAACTCAGAACGAAAAACAATAGCTAGTGATTTGGTATGGATTTCACAGAAGGAAAGCTTTGATCTCAATCAAATTGATTGACAATCAAAGATTACGACAAGCATGCATTACAACTTCACAAGCTCCACATTAAATACATCCGTAGCTTATATTATATATCACACATGGGAGTTTGCCACAAGTTCACAATAGTCAGCAAGTAAACACAACAACAACTTTCCTATTCTCAGGAATCAAAAGAGCAAGCAACTTATTAAGCTTTGAGAGCTCTTTCATTTCAAGTTCCAACATCCTGAAAACAAATAAGTATAGATGAAACAAGTCTGAAATAATAGTGTTTACAATTTACAGACACTTTGTATTGAAGAATATGAACTTACGCATGAATAAAAGCAGCAAACAACTTCTCAGGCTTTGAGTGCTCTAAAACTCCAAGTTCCAACCTCCTGAAAACAAAACAACAATACGTATAGATGCAGATAATCACACAACATTAGTTATAAATTAGAACTACAAATTGAAATCAAACAATTATTGAAAAATCTCACCACATATATTCCTTTCGCTTCAACTTGTAAACTCTATGTACTGTTAATCTCCACGTTAACATGATTCATATCTAATAAAAAGAAGATATTAAATAAAGCATTCACTCATTAGATATACGAAATAATTACAAGATGAAAAGATATGGCCTTACCCAACTCAAACTTTTCCGCATTCTCGATGCACTCTTCAATATTAATCGGCTCGATAACCGCTCTCAACCAATCTTGAGTGCAAATCAAAGCTTCCAAGACTCTAGGAGTCAAAGAACTTCTAAAGCCATCAAGCACACGACCAGATGTACTGAAGGTAGACTCTGAAGCAACAGTAGTTACAGGAACAGACAAAATATCTCGAGCCATCAAAGATAGAATTTTAAACTTTTGATCGATCATGCTCCACTACATCAAAATGTCAAGATCGCGAGCCTCTTCAAGTTCAGCTTTAAGATACCGATCGAGTTCAGATAAGTTGCCCTCAGACTTCTTTTTCTCCTCATTAAGAAAGGCTTCATATGATGGCTCTTGCACGTAGAAATCCAAACCGCAATCTTCCCCTTCATTTCCCTCATCGCAATAAGGATCGCAACTACTACCAGCACTAGTAGAACTCAAAAGTTGACCACCCAAATTCTTATCACAAGACCCAAGAGAAGATTTCTCATAAAATTTAAACAAACGTTCCATGGCGAACTTCACCTTGTCAAACATCTCATCAACTATTGCAATATCATCATAAATGAGTCTACAACAATACCTCACATAATTCATTTTTTTTCTAGGATCCAATACTACAGCAATCAACACCATCATATTCACTTTCTCAAAATTCCCATAGTATTTGTCAGACTTATCTTTCATTTTCGCACCCATAACTCTCACCCTAGGATCGAAAGCCTTCGCCGCTTCTTTCAGATAATTGAATAAAGAAGCTATTCCCTCAAAATAATCATTTGAAGTGATATACAAAGTCCCAGACATCTTGTTGGTTGCATCATAAAACTTCTTCAAAAATTTGCAAAGAATAATGGCATTTTCCCAATCAACACTAGTTGGAGTATCGGAGCTAAGCTCAGTTGAGAAAGAAATATCTTCTTCATCCATCCTTTCAAAAGCTTTTCTTAGCTTTATGGCGGTGTCTAACATTAGGTAAGTGGAGTTCCACCTAGTGGAGACATCAAGACAAACTGAACCCTTATAAGTGATCCTTGTTTTCTCAATGCAATCTTGAAATGCTTTAGCTCTCATGGGAGAACTTCTCACATACCTAACAACGTTACGAATACGTGCAATAGAATCGCGTACCTCAGCTAAGCCATCCCTCACAATCAAGTTTAATATATGAGCCGTGCACCTCATGTATAAAACTTCACCATCTAAGATCAAAAGTTTATCTCTTGCAAACTTTTCTTTCAAATAACCAATAGCAACATCATTCGAACTAGCATTATCCACAGTGATTGTTGACACTTTTTTCTCTATTCCCCACTCGTAAATGCATTTTTCAACCATTTTCCCAATATCCCTACCCTTGTGACTAGGCAACACCACAAAATTGATGATTCTTTTGTTCAATTTTCAGTTTTCATCAATAAAATGTGCGGTGAGACATAAATAGTTCAAATTCTGAAGGGAACTCCCTATATCAGTCGTGAGTGCGATTCTAGAATTAAGCTTATGAAAGGAAGCCTTCAAACTCTTTTTTTCACAAAAATACAACTTCATACAATCTCTAGCCACCGTAAATCGCGACACATGCTTGAAGAGAGGCTGTAATTGATTGGCATAATCACGAAATCCAACATGCTCAGCCATCGAAAATGGTTGTTCATCAATTATAATCATTCGAACTAGCATTTCCCTACATTTCTCCTGATCAAACTTCCATGTCGTTAAAAAACTAGCACTTCCAATACTAGTATTTCCCCCTATTATTTGATTCCCACATACTGTATGTGATGCAAACAATTTTTGCTTCTTATCTATATTGCGAGGATACTTAGGGCACTTTCTCAAATGTTTCAACATAGTTGAAGTGCCATTATCAACATGGTACAAATACTTGGTCCCACAATAATTGCAAAACATTTCAAGTTTCCCGTTCGCGTCAGTTTTGCCTTTACGAAAATGAAGCCAAGCTACTGATTTTTGCTTACTAGACTGAGGACAAGAACCAGATACCTTATCTGATGCCTCTTCAAAGTCATCTTCCCCTCCTCCATGTTCTAGTGATTCTGATTCAATTATTGGTATTATCTCATCATAGGATTTCTCTACTTCCATTGACATGTTAATAGATCACCTGCTCAAATCAAGCAACATGTCATTAACGGATAAAATTTAAGGTCATCAAGATTCAAAACTAAAGCCAGAAAACCCATCTAAACGACTCCGAAACGCAAAAAAACGACGTCGATCACGGCGTAGTCGTGACAAAACTTATCATAACGGGTAGGCTTGATGGGTCTTGTTAAGCCTCCCAACCAGACTTGAAGGTGCAAAAACATTGAGACCACATAAGAGATCTCAAGCACTTGTTAACTGAATACTTCACAAAAAAAAAAAGAAATTTACCAACATAGCAAACTTAATCGAACATAAAATACCAAGAATACCAATTCTAGAACACCAGCAGCTTGAACATACTAGTGACTGGTAAAAGAAAGCATCTTTTTGGGCATGGATGTTCCAAAATTTTGCCCTAAAGTTCTACCATCATGTTAACAAAAGTATAAAACTGAGAATCACTCGTGAGATAGGAGAGCATGGCTCATAATCAAGGCAAGCATTTATAAAACGCACAAGTACCGTAATGTTTTTTCTTTTTATTCAAGAAGCTTGATGCAATTTAGCGCTTGCTATTGTACACAAAACCAAACTTTCAGAAGGGTTCAAAACAAACCTACAAGATGCAAATCACCAAAAGAATATCGGCGTAAGAACAAGCTAATCTCACTTGTGTTCTCTGTTCGATTCTCTGGTCTTTTTTTCTACTGTCGGGATTTATTCAACAAGTCCAAGAAGAAGATCTCTTAATCATTGGCTTCATCTGCTTGTCCTCTTCCAGGGAAATCATTCCCAAGTGCGAAGGATCCTCCAGCATCATCTTCGCTACCAAATATCCTGCTATAGACCATGTTTGGTACTTTCTTGCTTGCTTGCCAACATATCTACCCATTTTACCATCATAAAACAGAGATGCTACCGAAGACCCATCTAAGTGCATCATTTTGTAAATGACTTTTAATGGGTAGTTTCTCCAACTAAACTACCCATTTACAACCCACTACCCGAGCAGCAAAATGCGGAGGAAAACTCGCGAATTTGACCAACCCATGTCGAGAATCGCACGAAATGTAGACGCTATCAAGCACCGAAACATGCGAAAGAGGAATTCACACGAAATAGAGATGCGACTGAAACACGCGAAAAAGGAATTCATGCAGCATAACATCCAAAGCCCAGCAAAGTGCGCGGGTTTCTTCGCACACGTACACCCCCACATTCAAGCAAAACGAAGCCACACCCCACAGAAAATCGAGAGAGCAGCAAATGCAAAGGACAACCGGCTAGAAAGAGATAGCGAGAGAGCAGACCTGGCAGTCGCAGTGGAAGAGACGGAGACCGGCGGACCCGATGGAGACGGAGACCGGGCGATGGAGACGGAGACGATGAGAGTCGGAGAGGAGAGAGTATCGCAGATTGAGACTTGAGAGGCGTCGACCAAGAGTGACTGAGTGAGCTTGTGTTGTGAGAGAGTATCCTGATTTAGGGTTTTGAATTTTTTAAATTAAAAATTAAAAATATTATATTATATATATTATACCGGTTCGGTCTGGGTGGGCAGGTGGGCGGTTCCACACCCGAAACCGGGAACCGAACCGGTACCCACCGATTCCAAAAAATTGGAACCGGGAATCGGACCGAAACCCTTAGAACCCACCGGTCCTGGTCTGGTTCCGGGCGGTCTTGGGCGGGTTGGGCGGGTACCGGGTTTTTGCACACCCCTAGGTTGAACCGGGTCGGTCCGGTTCATTTTCCCGGCGGGAGATTTTAAAAAATAATAATAATAAATAAATAAATATCTAAAAAAATTCAAAAAATTCAAAAAAAAATCACTAAAAAATTAAAAAAAAATTCATAAAAATGTAAAAAAATTCAGAAAAATAGGAAATTCACAGAAAAATAAAAATTTTCAGAAAATTCAAAAAAAATTCAGAAAATTCATAAAAATTCAGAAAATTTTTAAAATACAAATAAAAAATGAAAAATTCAGAAAATCTAAAAAAATTCGAAAATTAATAAAAATTTTCAGAAAATCATAAAAATCAATTCTCGGTTAATGAAATTCTCAGAAATTCAATTTTCGAAAAAAAAATCAATCAAAAAAAATCAAAAATTTCAAAAATTCACAGAATAATTCAAAAACACTGTGGCCAACCTTAGAAAGTGAAATTTGAATTTTTGGAAGTGCCCAAGTGGCATTTTTAGAAAATCTCAAATTCAGGGGTTATAACCCCTAAAAAACCCTAAAATCCTAAAAAAAATGCAAATCATGAAATGAATAAACTTCTAGGGCTTCATTAGGGTTTGATGTCTTGATTGATTTTCATTTTTAGAGACCATTTAGGATTGATTGATTTGACTGACATTGATTGCGTATTTAATCCTCGATTGATTTTCCCACGATTAGATTGGATAGAATTAGTGGGTAAGTCTCGGAAGCTTGCATGACACGTTAGACATCGTATCGTTCTTAGGTACCGAAAGGGCGTTAGGGATCTCGATTTGGGATCAATAACGTAACCAAGTCCCCGTACTCAGAATCTTTGGTTCGTAGAATCGTGGTATTTCTCCCATACCCCAATTAGGTTTCTAGTCTACCTACCAATAATGACTAGTGGCGACTCCAAAATTAAAAACTTAGACCAAATAAGAAATTACCATCCGCTGTCACGTGAGATATGGTATGGGAGAGACCCTTACACGAAAATACCTCCTTAGCGCGCAAATCCCAAAAGTCCAAAAAAAGCACGGCGCGACACGATTAGGTGGACAAATATGATATGTTCGAGCCATCTTTTCGATGATCCATTCGAACCGTCTTTCGAGCAAATACATCTAAATATATTCGCGAGGGCGACTCCTTGAGGGTAGGTCGCGACAGATTTGATCTTGTCATTCATAAGGCATAAAAAAAAAGGATACCGATTCTTTAGTCATGTCTTTATTACGACAGTCTATTGTTACGTTTTATAGGAGACAAGACCTTTTGACTCATACACCAATCCTAGAATTTACCGAAAGAAAGTCTCTCTATGGCTTCCATTATGCCGTGATATTCTAAATCTGCTTATTCAGCTGTCGAGCCAAATACCTCGCTATCAGGATCTTCGATATTAAAAAATTATTCCAATTTAGTTTCCATTTAGGAAACGAAGTATCCAAGGTGACTCGCCTACCTAGTCACGTTGTTTGATTGAGTCGAGGTTGGCGATTGTAGACATCTAATTTCATTGCCTAGCCCTCTTTGTGGTGTGCCACTCTTGAGCTTCTTCGCTCTCATCCGCATTGAATGATTTTCATTAACTCTTTATTTATAGACGATAACATATCACTCCAAATTCTCAAATAGCAATAGATAACCATGTCGAGTCTAAGTTAGTCCTTTCAGCCTCATAACCACATGAGAGTTCGAACTAGTTCTATAAGTTCCTTTTATCGGCTTTTCTCCTCGTGACATTCTATATCTAACAAGTGGAATTGATGCGGCGCTATATTAACAAGAGAAGAAAAATTAAGAAGAAAAAAATGCATACACACACCTACGCACAAAGATGGGAGAGGGCTCGATAAAATGGCCGACGATCTGTCGCTGCCCGACGTAAATACGTGTCGCGACCTTCGCCGGGAACAGTCGATGCATCGATGAGGGTCCCCAATGCTTTTTATGCCCACGAGAACTCCCGCTGAGGCCTGCAGCTATCACTCGCTCGAAAGAACTTGGGCGAGTCCAAATCTTTTCCAGAGTCGCAGCGCGTGAGCCTCTTGCTTGCCTTTCCTCTCATTGGTCAAATCAATGAGAAACAAAAGCCCTACGAATAAAACTTGCACTCTCACGCCTTTTCATCGACTTTGCTCCTCTCTCTCTTCGCCTCCTTTGATCTCACCCTTGAAGCTCAAGGTCTTACTAGGTTTTATCCACTTTTCAAAATCTCTCCCTTCAGAACTTTCCCGCTTTGTTCGCCGATCCCGATCCCACTTCTCATGCAAGCCCTAGATATCCCTCATCTTCTAGGGTTTATGAGAGCTCACTATCACGCATCTTCGATCCTTTGATCAATTATTATTTCTAAGGAATTTCGATGGTTCTTTGATTAAAAAAAAGTACGAATATCGAGAAGATTATAGAAACCTCGTGATTACTAGTATCGTCAAGTTACTAACATGGCAACTCTAAAAGAGAGGTTTTCTTTCCTTATTCTTCTCAGCTCCTATGGAACATCTAGCATATGGAAAAGAATCCATCTCCAATTCTTATTATCAACTATAGTTACTTCTTGTGGAAAGTTCGATTAAGGGAAATAGTGGAAAAGGGTTAAGGATAGCTTCCCATATTTGCTTGTACTTGTTTTATTCTTATCTAAATTCATTCAATTGCATTCTCAAATTAGGTGACTGATGTTACGAAAAACTATTCTTGATCTGATCTTGTCATTTATAAGGGCATTAAAAAAAAAAGGAAACCGATGCTTTAGTAATGTTTTTATTACAATAGTCTATTGTTACATTTTTTAGGAAAATAATCCATCTCCAAATCTTATTATCAACTATAGTTACTTGTTGTGGAAAGTTCGATTAAAACATGGAAACAGAGGAAAAGGGCTAGGGATTGATTCCCATATATGCTTGTACTCTTTTTTATTCTTATCCATTTCATTCAATTGCATTCCCAAATTGGTATATGCTAGTACCCTTTTTATTCTTATCCATTTCATTCAATTGCATTCTCAAATTAGGAGGTTGATGTTACCAAAGACTATTGTTGATCTCGTCTTTTCATTCATAAGGGCATAAAAAAAAGAAACCAATACTTTGATCATGTCTTTTTTACGATAGTCTATTGTTATGTTTTTTAGGAGACAAGACCTTTTGGTTCATACACCGAGCCCTAGAATTTACCCAGAGAAAGTCTCTCTGTGCCTTCCATCATGCCGTGATATTCTGAATGTGCCTATTCAGCCGTTGATTCAACTTCGATCGCCGTCAAGCCAAATATCTCGCTTTTAGGGTCTTTAATATTAAAAAAATTCTTCCAATTCAGCTTCAATTTAGGAAACCAAGGCTGCGAATGATAACCATTCTGTTTCTCTATTTCTGTTCCAGAAATAGGTTTGGAACAGAAATCCGTTTGGTAACGCAATTTTAATTTCTATTTCTGGAACAAATTTTTGTTCCAGAAATAGATTTGAAAGAGAAATCAGAAGTTAAAATTTTTAGCTTCTCTATTTCTGGAACAGAAATGAGAAACAAAATTTTTTTGTTCTTCTCATCACTTTCCCTCACTACTAGTCGGTCGCTCACCCACCGCCCATCGCCGGCCGCCGCCACCCGCCGACCGCTGCTACCCTTCACTGGCCGCCGTCGCCGGCCACCGTCTCCTGCCACCGGCTGCCTCCCACCACCGCCGGCTGCCGACCACCGGCCACCTCCCGCCACCATCGGTGGCCAGCCGCCTCCCGTCGGCCAAAAAAAATTCCAAAAAATCCTTAAAAATTGAAAAATTCCAGAAAAATTCATAAAAATTTCTAGAAAATAAAAAAAAGTCAGATTTCGGGAAAATAGGAAATTTGTTCATTTTTTCCAAAAAAATAAAAAAATTTCAAAACTTCACAGAATGGCTTAGAATACTTGTGGCCACTCACTTTGAATGAAATTTAAATTTTTTGAAGTGCCCAAAAAAAATAAAAATAAAATCAAAAATTTCAAAACTTTACATAATGGCTTAGAATATACGTGGCCACCCACTTTGTGTGAAATTTAAATTTTTTGAGGTGCCCAAAAAAATCCAAAAATCAAAAATTTCAAAACTTCACAGAATGACTTAGAATATCTGTGACCACCCACTTTGCGTAAAATTTAAATATTTTGAGGTGCGCAAAAAAATTTAAAAATAAAAAATTTCAAAACTTCACAGAATGGCTTAGAATACCTGTGGCCACCCACTTTGCGTAAAATTTAAATTTTTTGAGGTGCCCAAAAAAAAACCAAAAAATTTAAAACTTCACAGAATGACTTAGAATACTTGTGGCCACCCATTTTAAGTGAAATTTAAATTTTTTAGGTGCCAAAAAAATAAAAAAATAAAAAAATAAAAAAAATTAATTTCACTCAAAGTGGGTGGCCACAGGTATTCTAAGCCATTCTGTGAAGTTTTGAAATTTTTTATTTTTTGATTTTTTTGGGCACTTCAAAAAATTTAAATTTCACTCAAAGTGAGTGGCCATAGGTATTCTAAGCCATTCTGTGAAGTTTTGAAATTTTTGATTTTTTTTGGAAAAAATGAACAAATTTCCTATTTTCCCGAAATCTGACTTTTTTTTATTTTCTGGAAAATTTTATGGATTTTCTGAATTTTTTTTAGATTTTTAGGAATTTTCCAGATTTTCTAATTTTTTTATTCTATTTCTAAAAGAAATGAAGCGATTGTCCGCCGCCGCCGTCCACGCGCCGGCCACATGAGAAGGAGAAATTTTGTGCCGTTATCAAACAAATTTACGTTTCGAAATAGAAATTTTGTGTCGTTATCAAACATGTTTTTTAGCTTAGAAACTCCTCCAGAAACAGAAATAGAAAAATCAATTTCTGGCCAGAAATTGATTTCTGAAACAGAATGGTTATCATTCGCAGCCCAAGTATCCAAAGCTACCCGCCTACCTGGCTGCATTGTTGATTGAGCCGAAGTCAGCGATCACACACGTCTAGTTTCGTCACGGCGTGCCACTCTTGAGCTTCTTCTTTGCTTTCGCCCGCATTGAATGATTTTCATTAACTCTCTATTTATATACGATAACGTATCGCTCCAAATCCTCGAATCAAGTCAACTGATGATCGCGTCGAGTGAAAATTAACCCTATTAGTCTCATAACCACCCAAGAGTTCGAACTAGTTTTATAAGTTCCTTTTATTGATCTTTCTCCTCGCGACATTCTATATTCAACCAAGTGAAACTAACGCGGCGCTACATCAACAAGAACGGGATAGGGCTCGACAGAACGGCCGGCGGCCGGTCGCCGCCCCTGTGCAGATACATGTCGCGACCTTCCCCCGCGAGACGAAGGGGTACCCCGGTGGCTTTGGGGGGCCCCCCCAAGAGCTCTCCGCCGAGGGCCCCCCGGGCGAGTACGGATCTTTCTCCGGAGACGCAGCGCGTGAGGCCCCCACGCCCCAGCCCCGGCCCCTCCCTCGGGGGGCCTCCTCCCTCTCCTCCGATTGGTCAAACCAGCGAGGAGCCCAGCTCCCTATAAATACGGCCTCGCCCCCCTCACCTCTTTTGCCCATCGAGCTCGTTCCCCCATCTCTTCTCTCTCTACTTTCTCTCTCATAGCCATTCGATCTCTCGTCCTCGTCGTCGTCGTCGTCGTCTCTGTTCAAGCAGTCCTTCCTCCCTCCTCGAAGGGGTCTTACCAGGGGGTTTATCCCACCCTCTCTTCCCTGGAATTCCCGCTCCCGTTCGCTCCCCCTCGCCGCGAGCCCCTAGAAATCCCCCCCCCCCCTCCTCCGCCGTCTAGGGTTTCCGCCGGAGCTCCGGGGGGGTTTTGGGTTTCCCGCGCGCGGGGCTCCGGGATTTCTCGCTGGGTTTTCCGGCGACGATCGGTGGGTCGGGTTTTCTCGATTCGGTGTCCGGGCTCGCGGACCGCTTGCGGGGGGCCGGGGTTTCTTGTTCCCGGGCCGAGCCGGTCTTGAATTTTCCCCGTCCGCTCGCTCGCGGGTTGCCGTCGCTCCCGAGTGTGGTTTCGGCGGCCGCTAGGGTTTCGCGGAAGCCGGGCCGGATCTGGGTTTTGCGGATTGCCGCTTTTGGAGCTCGCCCATTCCTTCACCCGCTGCTGTAAGCCGGTAGATTTCGTTGTCTGCTGAAGTTTGGACCCGTTATGGAGGTTTCCGGCTTTCTTGGTACCTAATTGTCCGAATTCTCTGTTTGGGTTTGAAGCGTTTTTGTTTGTTTCTCCTCCATTTCGAACGCCCCCCGTATCGATGGAGTGGAAGTGGAGGAGAAAATGATTGCCCCTGATGGAGCAGATCTCGGGCTGGGCTGGGCTGAGCTGAGCTGAGAGATTCGTGGGTTGAATGAAGGAAATTTTGTTGTCGGGTTATCTTCCATTGATATGAGTCATCGAATATGAACAATGGAGGTGTAAATACAACAACTGGTAACGAAACGAAGGCTGATGCTCCGAGTGGAAGAGCTAAAGCTGACGACTTTGCTCGTGCGGTATCGAGGGTTGCGGTTGCACAGGTTTGTGAGGGTGTCGGGTTCGAGAGTGTCAGGGACTCCGCTTTGGACTCTCTTTCAGATATAGCGATTCGTTATCTTCACGATATCGGCAAGGCTGCGAGCTTTTATGCTAATATCTCTGGTAGGACTCAGTGTAATGTTTTTGACATTATTAGAGCTCTAGAAGATTTAGGGAATTTTCAAGGTTTCTCGGGGGCTTCGGGAGTTAGTCACTGCCTTGCCAGTTCTGGCACAGTAATGGAAATTCTGGATTATGCGCAATCGGCCGAGGAGGTTCCCTTCAATCAGTCGATACCTCGATTTCCAGTAGCCAGGGATAGGCGTCTGATCCCAAGTTTCACGCAAATGGGTGAGACTCCACCTGGCAAGCATGTACCTGCGTGGTTGCCGGCCTTGCCTGATCCTCACACTTATAAGCAGACACCCGTGTGGAATGAGCGGAAGTCGGATCTGCGTGCTGATAAGATCGAGCAAGCGAGGCAAAGGAGAAATGCAGAGAGGTCTTTGTTGAATTTGCAGCAAAGGCTAGCCCAGTTTGGTTCTGCAGGAGCTTCAACCTCGAATATTGTTCAAGATCACCAGCCGAAAGAATTGAAGGCAGACGAAGGCAATCCATATCTCACCACACCTTTGCCACCTGGTGAAAAGGAAGTCTCGTCTGTCAATTTGCCTGTTATTCTTTCTAATGGACCTACAAGGGAGAATAGTTTATCTGTCCTGGAGACATTTGCCCCTGCAATTGAAGCTATGAAAGATCGGTTCTGTGAAGATGGTGATGGCGATAATAAGATCCTTCCTCCTGATAAGAGACCTGCTATTCATTTCAAGTTCAAGACTGGAAAAAAAGTTTTCGGTCAGTCTTCGGATCTAAAACTTCATACTAAATATCTCAGCAGACCTGTCGCTCTGATTGGGCGTGAAGAGGAGAGAGATGACAAGAAGAGAAGAGCTGAATACATCCTTAGGCAAGCCATGGAAAATCCACAGGAGCTCACTCAGATGTAAATTGATAGAGAATAGCAGTATGATTTGCAAGGTGCATCAAATTGGTTGTCCGCTGAGGCCACAGTGTTGCTTCTGGTGGAAATTTTAGGGCAGTTTAGGCAGGAATTCTTGTAGTCCGGCTAACAATACTTCTGAGGTATGAGAGTGTCTCTTTTCATGCTCCGACTCTGCTTTGTAAACAATTCTTTGAATTACATTTTTCTTGTGTTCTTATCCAATATGTGAGTATCTCTTGCACCGTTACTGTATGGAATGACATTGTTTCTGCTCCCAAAGTACTTTTTTGTGGATGCATATGCGTATTGGAGGCAAGAAGCAGATCATGCACATTACTAAGCCCTGCCGCTTGAGCATCAAGGCCTGGGAGTTACTCGTCTTGGGAATATGAATTCGATTTGGAAAGTAACCTTGAGTATTTCAATTTAGAGTGCTATCTGAGGATATTACTTTCTTGTATTCCGATTTAAGCACTTCATTTAGAATACTCTGTTGGCTTGGAACTTGAGCATCAAGGCCCGTCAGTTACTTGTCTTGGGAATATGAATTCGATTTGGAAAGTAATTTTGAGTAAATCGTTTCCAATTTATGTTGCTATACAATTTTCTTGTTTTTGCTGCCAATTCACTTTCATTTGTAAAGAACTTCAAGATACGGTGGTCCGACATATAGCAGGTTATTTTGACTTACAAATACCATGTGGTTGAATTTAACTCAGAACTGGATTACTGAATAGGACAGAGCATGGTCCAGCTGGGTCATTTTTAAAACTGGGAATCGACCCAGACAGTTCTAGAACTGGTCGGGAACCTAATGGGCTGATCCCAAGCCAGTTCGTGAGTAGGACCATTCTAAATAAAAGGGGACTATGGAGATGAGATGGTAATTAAAAAGAGATGAGAGCACGAATAAAGGGGGACTTAAGACTTGAGAGAGAGAGAGAGAGAGATGTGCGCTTATGTGGTGGCTATAAAAAACCTAAAATGGTCAAGGGTCTTGAATATTCTTTGAAGTAGCATTAGCTATTTTCTGTCTTCGGGACCAAAGTTTGAATCTTCACTAACCACTAGACCTATGTTCTTATATTTTAATAAAGCCAAAAATTCGTTCGGTTCAAACCTGGAACCAACCTGGATGGTTCAGTTCCCGGTTGAACTGCCAGTTCCCAAGCAATAATTATGAACCTACTGGGTCGTGGGCCAGTTCCAGATTCTTGGAACCGCACCGACCAGGCCGGTTGCAGCCAGTTCCTATGTTGAACTGGACTGGCTGCACAATGTTAATTGTTGATTACTCATCAGTTATTTTCAACAGTAGTTTTAATCGTCGTGTTTCATTAAATAAAAGTGGAGTAATTAATGGTGTTTGCATCTAGTCATGTTGCTGTGCAAACATTTCACCAGAAGGCTGCCTATCTTTGCAGTATTCCGACATTGTACTTTGTTTTCGTTATGTATTGTATGGGTAGGTTGGAAATGAAACCCTTTAATCTCAGTGATCTACATTAGCATTTCATAGTTCTTCTCCTATCAAGTTACCATCCAAATTTAAACTTGTGTATGGAGCTTAACTGTTTGAAATGAAACACATTTATATGTTACAGCAGTAGTTTTTAGGTATCTGTTCTTGTAAGGGTGAAATATACAAGAAGTGTCCAAAAACCATTAGTTGATTAAGCTTGCGAACTGTTTAGTGATACCTGTCGAGTCAAGCCATCTTTTTGAATGCTTTACTATGTCATAGCTATTTGATGACCCTGAATTAACTTTTAGATGACATTGCACCTTGTCATATTTATATTGTTTGTTTCACATTCGAGGAAGTTTATAACTGCATATATATGATCAAGGAAGGTTTTTCGAGTTAACTTTTACTGGGTTATCCTGGTTAAATATGAGCTAAGGTAATCTGGGGCATATCTGTTCCTCTTGAAGTCTCTCTGTGGTGCATTGTTTGTACCACACACTTGAAACTAAAATGTCCTGGTTGCTCATATAACGTCTTAATGGAAAGGCATTACTTGTCATACTGATTGACCACTTTCTATATCTTGGATACTTGGTGTAATATTAAAACTATGCAGCATTCCTCATCCCAAATGTAGAATTTCTAGATTTACCTTGTGCTGTGTTATCTAGTACCTCGCAAATACTTGATTCTGCTGATGCCTGATGAGACATCCCATCGATTCTCTGGAATTCATGAGACATAAACAACTCTGTCTTGAACGGCAAGATCCCAGGATTTACAGCTTCTGCCATCAGTTGGTGCTGCAAAGTAGTTATTACCCTTGTACTTGGAACTAATTTTTACTGAAAAAGAAAGGATGCATGTCAATCCTTTCTCCGAGGTAACGTCCTAAAAGGGAGATATCCATTACATTACCCATTATACTTCAGGACTGCACAATGAGTTTGGGATTACTATGTAATTGATTGGAAACAGGGCTATGTCATGCATACTTTGTTCTGTTTTTCTTTTTTCACTATTTCTTCAGAACTAGTAAGCGGGATTCTGATATATGCCAATGAGATTGTTTCAATGATATTTTACTACACATTATGCATATATTTTCAACAAGTATGAGTAATTTGTTGGATTTGCTCTCCAGCTTGTTGGAATTTGACCTGCACTTGTCGATCCTGATCTGTACACTTCATGATAGGATTCTTTGGAGCTCACTTGGTTCGCAGGGGATTACAAGAACACCTTCTTGATTAAATCCAAATTCCTGTTCCGCTGCATCTAATAACTTGAGAAATGGAGGATGGCTGAGATATCTTAATTCAACGAAGAACTTCCTGGGCTCGCCATGTCCTATCGTGATGACAGAGAAGTATCCATCTTTCATTTTGGCCATTCTATCGTTTCCCTTGATGGTGTTGCAGTATCTCAAGGGCCATCTGCAGGGACAGAGGAAAACCTTCTGGAACTGTTTCCCTGCCTTTCCTAGACTGAGGAAGGAGCTATTTTTCCTCCATTTCGCTTTGCTCTCATCCTTGTGCTTGATGTGAATTTTTTTCCCCGTTTTTCGCCAACTATGCTAGATCTTGTGTAGGTTCTTTCTATGTAATGGAAATAGAAGCAGTGGCCGATTTATACTTGGAGTTCAGGCCTTTCCTCATTGAATGAGTGCAACTGTGCATGTGATCTCCTCCTTGTGGTTAGTCAACTTGACAAGCCCCTACCTTATGACATCCACTTGGCCTCTTTCAGGAAAACTTGAGGCAGAGAAATGGATTTTAAAGAACAATTAGGGCCCGTTTGGTAACGTGCCAAATAGTGAAAATTTCTGTTTTTTTGTTCCCAGAAATAATTTGGGAACAGAAATGCGTTTGGTAAACTTTTTATTCCCGGGCACATTTTTGCAAATATTTGTGCCGAGAAACAGTTTTGGAAGAGAAACAAGAAGTAAAAAAAAGTTACTTTTTGTTTCTCGGCACAATTTTAAGAATCAATTTTTTTTCTTCTTTTTCTTTTTTTTCTTTTCTTCTTTTTGTGTTGCTCTGTCGGCGAGGGCGAGGGCTGGACCCTTGCCGCCTGGGCGAGGCGGCTCGCCGTCGATCATGGCGAGGTCGGCCTCGCCCAGATCTGGCAAGGTCGAGCCTCGCCGTCGCAACCCACGGCGAAGCCGACCTCGCCGTCGCGACCCTCGCCCAGATTTGGTGAGGCCGAACCTCGCCGTCGCGACCCACGGCGAAGCCGACCTCGCCGTGGGTCGCGACGGCGAGGCTCGACCTCACCAGATCTGGGCGAGGTTGGCGAGGCCGAGCCTCGCCGTGGGTCGCGATGGCCGATGTCGGCCTCGCCCAGGCGGCGAGGGTCCAACCCTCGCCCTCGCCGGCAGGGGGGACCCTCGCCTCCGTCGGCGGCTGGTGAGGGCCGTGACGCTCTCGCCGGCCCTAGGCTGTGACCGGTCGCCGGCGACCGGCCATGGCCTGGGTAGAAAGAAAAAAAAAATTAAACAATTCAAAAATTATTAAAATATTATTAATAAAAAGAAATTTATGTGTAGTTACCAAACGAATTTCTGTTCTTTTCTATTTCAGGAATAGAAATTTTGGACAGTTTACCAAACGCCTTGAAATGCACAGAAATTATTTCCGGGCACAGAATAAAAAAAAATCATTTCTGTTCAGAAATAGTTCCCGGGCACATAATGGTTGTCATGCGCACCCTTATACTTTTTTCCTTCTATTGATATAGAAATTTATTTGGTGCGCAGTTCTTTATCTGAGGTCCCCATTCTTTGCGTACGAAATACGATGTGGAAGAAGATATATAAAGAACCCTCGACACTAAATGACCTGGTTTTGTGGTGTTTAAAAACGTCACTTCCTTGTTGAGTATTCGGCAGGGCATCAGCCCATACCAAAGGGAAAGAAAAGGACTGCTGGATTAGATACTATGCCGTGGAAGAATCACAACCAGGAGTCTGTCATATGGGAAGATTCATGCATCTACTTACGGCCCATCGCAGCGGTGCATGCATCTGGCTCGTATACTCTTGTTTGTCGCGGTCTTAATCTTGAAAATACTGAATTCAGAAGCCAAGGCCCTCGAGACTTTCAATGCCACGCCTAAGGTAAGATGAGGTGAAGACCAGCTTGTTTGGACAAAGCACATGACCAGGCGTTAACCTAATCCGCTGTCCCTCTCATAAAAACTGCCTTGACAACTCTCAAGTAAGCCTGTACTTTGCCATGGTAACTGGTAAGGGACCTCTGGCCAGGTTTCGTTTTTTATATCAATGTTCGTCCCAGGGGCTCTCTTGCCCTCCCGATACCTCCAGGCTTGTTTCTTCGCGCTAAAACTATATGCAACTTTTCTCATCTCTACGCCAATGACACTGTCAAACATCATGTGCCTATTTTCTTGATAAAATCTCGGCCGCCAGTGACCCTAAAACTGCCAAAGGTCGTGTACCTATTTTCGTTGTTGAAGTTACAATTGTACCAGAGCTTGAGGTGTTAAGGTAGAGCCACCGTATATTGCAGTCAATCCATGAGGAAGCCCCCCTTGTCCATGCCAAAGTCGGAACGTGTGCTCTATTTGGCAACAGAATTTTTTGTTGATTAGACAAGCTCTAATCCTGCACCGCTGCTCGCTTAATTCTTACCATTTCTCTCCGAAAATCTCTGAGACCACAGCTTACTGACGATCTAGAAAACTCTGTGCACTAAGGTCATATTCATATTCCTCCGGTGCAGCATTCCATGCTCCGACGAGTTATGAAGAAGCTTAAAGTCTGAAACTAGTGCGATTTGGGAAGAGAATTTCCAACTATTTAGTTATCCAAAATCTATTATAGAGTATAAAGCCTCCAGACATCGCTAAAATAAGCTCACCAGAAGACTAACGAGGTTTTGCATATAGAGCTCGAAACATCAAAAGGGAAAATCTAGATGGATCTCATTTTCACCAAACTAGAGCTCAAAACATCAAACATACACTAAACATACTCGTGATGTTTGTGTTCCCCCATTTTGAACGGTTATCGACCACTATCAAAATCAATCTTTCTGTTTGCACGAGAAAATCAGAAAGTACTCCAATAAAATGCAAATCTCCAGTTTTTTCCTACAGTTCCAGGAATTATACAGTGTGAAACCCTTTGGATTTTTGGTCAAGCTTGGATTATAAAACATCTATGCGTCTTAAGTTCAAAAAGGAGGGAGAGAAAGCTTATAAAGCCTTCAGGGCACTCATTACGTCAGACGTCTCAATGCTTCAGCTTCAGATCCAGTTGAGAAGGAAACACTCTACCACGGTGGTTGAAAATCATGAAGTCCAGGTTGTCTGGGAGAGAAACTATCCTGCAAAACCAAGAAAATGTCCGTTGCAGCGTAAATATGTATGTAGAATTCTTGAGCGCCCTTATGGGCCTCATTATGAATACATACAGGAGGATAAAAATGTAAATACGCAAGGTACAAATAATAGAACAAATCTAAACACTATTCTCAACAAACCAACTCTTAGGGTTATCACATTTCAACCACGTTACCAGCACAACATCTTCTAGTAATCATGTCAAAGAAGGCCAAAGACTAGATAGCTTCACAAAGATTTTTGGAAATCAATGAAACATACTAAACAAGAAACTTGGGACATCTTGGAAGCATCAAATTGTTCACAAAATTCTTGTATTGAGTAATATTTTTTATTAAAAAAGTCGTGAAAAAGAGTCACTCAAAGGGATTCCTCTCTTTTAATTCAAATTACATGGCATTTCAACGAAGCATATAGATCAACTGCATCTCTCACAAATATCTACACTCAATGAGACTTCTTTCTACGCAATAATAGTCTGCACATGCTAATGGGCACCATGACTAGAATATGTGTATTTAACGAGTCAAATGGCAGCTTCATCTTTCTTTAAACCTAGTTGATATACACAATTGAGGATCCATAACCATCTAAGTATCGACTTTACAAGATAATTGGTACCTTTGTAAAATCTTCTAATTCTCTTTCATCTAAGGAGTTCGATAAGTTGTAATGCAAAACATGTACGAAATCCATCTAGTAATACATACATGATATTCAATGTAAGTGCATAAGAATGCTAAAAAATCAGGCGCATGTAAACAATCTCAAGAAAAAAACAAAGATAATTGCCCATTCCGAGAAACATGGGAGCACATAATACAATCAGTTGAGAACTTTAGCATCATCATAAAGCATGAAGATGACCGTACTGAATCTCTTTTTAACCATAAAAAAGAGTGAAGTTTAAATCAACTTCTCATATTGTCCATACTTAATCATCATGAACAACATAGCCATAATTAGAGACGTATCATCATTGACGGCAGCCGGCTAAGCTATTCTAAGTTTCATGTCAGACATGTAGCAGATGCACCAACACCGCAAGAACATATTAAAGGAGCAGCTTAGCTATTTCTTCATTCTAGTTATAGACACTCTAGAGTTTACACGGCCACTTAATCACACTTTGAATCAACCTACCAAAGAAAATATCAACAAAAAAAAAGAACTCTTAAGCATCAACATGTAAACGAAAGAAGACATCCTCAACAATTGAAATATCCCATATTGCTTATATGCTGAGTCTATTTTGATGTTACATTATGTAGTCCCCCTCCATCTAACAGCTTAAGCTTTTCTATTGGATTTTCTAATATGAAATCAGAGTCAGTTTAAATTATTCATTTCCCATTCGTTATTTCATTTCCTATAGCCTTCTTGTTTGTCTCATTTGCTGTTTGTCAATTCCCATGTAGTGCTTTGTCCGGTTTACACATGAAAGGGAATACTGAAGCATTTTACATCGCATGTCTATAGGGTTTATTTGTTTGTATAATTTCTCTCCACTTAAAAACAAGCTTTTGTGTTGGACCTTTTGACACGGATAATAAAAAAGTAGTTCATTAAGAGAAAATTTCCCATGATTCATTTATACTTTTAATCTATAACATCGAAACCTCAACCATTGCAGAACAAATAGGCAAAAAGTCGTCCATAAGGGTAAGTCAAAGTGCTGATTGAGAGGATGTCTATAGAAGAAGTTGCAAACGAGTATGCACATCCTTTACATAGCAGTGAAGTCACTTTCAGACAAGTTATTATTGGAGAAATTCACCGTTGCTCGATAAGAGTTTCCAAGCGCTACTGAGTACTGACAGTGACAGCAAGGAGTAATTCTAAGGAATTTCAATTATGTCAAAACATAATATCAGGCAGGAAAATGTATCGTTAGGTGTTGATACATTGGTCCAAACTGCCACCAATAGATTATTGGTTCATATATTGTTTTAAGAAACATATACCCTAATTCTTATTTGAGGTTGCTTTTTATGTGATATTGAGATACAAACTCTTAAGATAATGTGGAGATATATTATGCAAATGTGCATTTTCTATCAATTCAAACCGATCCATAGTAGCCAAAGTTTAATCTGGGAGATTTTTATACCAAGCTACCATTTTTTGAAATTCTTCAACTTGACATCATTGAATCGCGTCAGAAACATATACCCTAAACTGAATCAAACAGCACCCTAATCCAACCATTTCCACAAATTATGAGATTGTGTACCTTAACGCTAGATGATATTTCATATTGACACATATCTCAAAGAAAAAGACACGATAAATTCCTCAACACGAAAGAATTTTTTAGAAGAGGTGTTAAAATGATTTGGGCACTCAAAATATTTTCTAAAGATGCTTTTGTGATACGATACGACTCTGTGGTTGGTTTATAACAACATTGGGGAACCTAAGTAAGACCTGGGCAGAAACTCTAGGGAAAAATATATGGGATTAATGTAGGACACTGTATTAGATAGAGTGCGAGGACATAATGGGATCTACATTCCTATCCCCATTGAACAAGAGACCGCTTTGTCTTCCTTGCAATTAAAGGATGGAGAAACATAGATACTTAAAACAAAAGAGTTAATCTAAAAAAGGTCATTGACATAAAAAATTATATCAACCACAGGAGACCAGTTCATGTTTTGTAAACCTTTACGACATAAAAGACAGAAAATACTATGACAACACCTAATTAAGCTGGATTCCGGTAAACTCTCGAACTTCTAACCAGATACTCAAGATGCTTACAATCCAACACGATCTGCAGTTAAGGCACAAAATCATTCACAACGTTTGCAGCTTCTTAACTTCCCTGCCGTATCTCTTGATTAACCACTCCACTTAAACATCACAAGTAACAAAACTTACAAGATTGCAACTTGAAGCTAAGACAAACCCCAAAGCAAATTTTCGCCAATCCAAATACTGGAAGAACCAACTGAACATTGGGGCAAACAATCTCACCTGTTTTCTTCGGAATCAGGATGGATCGAGAGGAACTTTCCGGGCACAGTGAGAGCAGCCAACACACAGAGAACGAGCCCCACGAGCAATTCAGCGACCACCTGCAGTTCAGCTCCAAAATTAGACGCTAAACACGATCAAATCCCGAACCGCGAAGCCATAGTTAGACGCTTACGTTGAGCGGAGGCCCCGAGAATTCCTCCTCCATGATCTTCAACAACCCCCTATCTGCAAAACCCAAAAACAAGAAAAGACGAAATCTCTCAAGCACCACCACTACACCCACGACTGCAAGCGCGTGAAAGGAGAAACCGAGAGGATTCGCACAAATTTGAGCGCGCTCGCTCACATTGGACGGTGGAATAGGCGGCGTGAGACAGGATCAGGACTCCGAAGGCGCCGATTGCGAAGCCGAACCTCATCGTCGCCGCTTTTCCTCCTCCTCCTTCTTCCGCCGACGGTCGCCGATGGGAGGCCGGCCGAGAGCTCCGATCGATCTACGATGAACAGGGACGGGGAAAGATCGCTGCTTTGCCTTGGAGGCTCTTCGGACTTCTTCTGAGCTGAAGGAGGGGGAGGCGGAAGTCCGGTCTGACCAACGAGAACCGACCCGGGTCCGGGGATGACGAGAAGGCCCAGATCCGGTTCATTTATGGGCCTCGAGGCCCAACCTTGAAAAGCCCTCCGTTTCTTTCTCTTTTCTCTTTTCTTTTTTTTTTTTAAATTTGATTTTAATTTAAAGCAGAAAAAACAATAAGACGCACCGTCGACTAAGGGTGAGCATAGTTTGGGTGGGCGGTTCCCACCCTGGAATCGAGAATTGCCCACTAAGAACCAGTTCCAAAAAATTTACCATCCGTTAAATTTGATTAATGTCACGAAAAACCACAAAATGTTAAACATGTGATAAACGGAGGGGTAAAACCCCAAATTACTACACCTATCAACTGGCACATGTCATCCAACTCAGTAATTTAATGGTAAAACGAAGGGTAAATTTATCATAGGTGTACAAGTTTGGGGTTTTTTGAGGTCAAAAAATTTATTTTGGATAAATTTGTCACATGTGTACTGATCTAGAATTTTTTGTAGCATTAACCCTAACGTGTATTATTCACTTTTTTATATTGCATGGTTTGGAAATATAATGAAACTTGTGTTGTGTTTTCCAAGTCACTGATCATGTTGGCCACGCATTCAGGTGCATATGCAAAATCAAATTGCTTTTAGCTAGTTTCGGAGTGATAATTGTACACACGTTCGTCTATATAAGCTAGGCATGTTTAGACTTTCTTTTGTGGTAGTTCCATGAATGGAAATTCTTAAAAAGAAATTAAAAGAAAAAAAAAGACACGACGACATGGTGACATGGAAATTAAACAATCTGATAAATTAGATGTCAACAGTTTATCTAATTGAAATGAAGATGGAAAAAATAAATTATTCAAAGGTAATAATATGAACAAGTTTAGACCAAAATATAGATTTGACATAATTTAAGACAAAAAAATGCCGTATTTATGAGAAGTACTTGCCTTTTGCGATTGAGTAGGTAAATTACATAAATAGTTAATACCACGAAAAATCTCAAACTGATACACCTGTGACAAATTTACCCAAAACTAATTTTTTGACCACTAAAAATCCCAAACTGATACACTTGTGACAAATTTACCCTCCGTTAGTTTCCGTTAAATTTTACTGTTAAATTGCTTTGTTAAATGACACGCAGCAGTTGATGAATGTACCAGTCTTGGATTTACCCTCCTTTTGTCACAAGTGTACTAGTTTGTGATTTTTTTTTGTATTAATCCAATTTAACGGAAATTAACGGAGGAGGGTAAATTTGTCACAAATATACCAGTTTTGGGTTTTTGGTGCTTAGAAAATTTAGTTTGGGGTAAATTTATCACAGATGTGTCAGTTTAGAATTTTTAGTGATCAAAAAATTAGTTTGGGGTAAATTTATCACAGGTGTACCAATTTGGAAATTTTCGTGGTATTAACCCTTACATAAAAGAAATAACAATATATATGTATGAAGACTTGGATGTTACACCTTTTGTAGCCTAGTACTATTTATATGAAGGGTTTTGCGAACGATAATTTAAACACATTTTAAACAATAAAAGACGGTACAAATTATTATAAACTTGGGTCATTAAGATATCGATTAATTGTCCAAAGTTTTTTTGGTTGCTTTATGTAAACTTTGTTTCGATCAAGATGAAAATTGAAGAGACATATGATGGATTTGCTATTCTATAGACAAATAATATGGTTTTGTACAACGACAAGATAATTGGACTTTTATACAAAGCCTAATCCATCATGGAAAGAATATATATAATTTTAAAAATTAAATTACGTGTTTAAGAAAGAATATGATCACTCACTTTAAGAATCGTCTTTGACAAAAAAATTCTAAATGTTAGGAATCTTTAACAAGATACATCGCCTCCTTTTTCCTTGAAAAATTACTACAAACTACTTTGATATTTCATTCACATCTAAAATAATAAGAACTTTATTCGGTCAAATTTGAACCAAACTCTTTTTCAGAAATTTTGGGTGTATATAATACACTTACAATTTTTTCGAAGCACGGAGGACTGCGTGAATCGAATAAGAAAAATCGTGCAATGATTATTTTTTTACTTTTTCACATATGTTTCGATGGATTTTTAGTTTTTACCCGGCGAAAATCTTGAGACAGATATTCTTTGATTTATTCTTAACTCGAAATATTTGAAATTTGTATAAATTATAACTAGCAAAGTATAAATTCATATGTACTTTTCTTTTTTTAATTTTCTAAAATTTAGATGTACTTTGAACTTTGATGAACTATTTAAAAAAGTTCAAACAAGCAGGTGCTCAAATTTTCCGAGCTAACTCTCTGTCCGTGCTGTCTCTGTCTCTGTCTCTCTCGGTAGCTCATACTGTCGATAACGTCTCCCTTCTCCGTTCTTGCTTCCGCCATTATCTTCCGACCAAGCTCTCGAGCTCCTGTGACGAAGCCGTCCGTTCGTGACAAATGCTCACCGTCGTCTAGTGGGTATCTCAAGCTCGTAGTTCTTGAGTCGAAGCTCTGCTTTTTTTTTTTTTTTTTTTTTCTTTCAATCATTTTCTTCTTGGCGCGAACAAGAACGATTGCTTAGCGGTGATTGTGCTCGAGACTTCGTTCGTCTAACGTTGGTTATACGACCTTCATCTTTGAGATTCTTTTTGATGCTGCTGATTCTTGTATTGGGTTGTCGCGGTCATCGCTCTGTGTTCGATTAAATGCCGCTGAGACTCATCTGAAGGGCTAGAAGGTAGCGGGATATGATGAGCATGAGCCAACTTCTGCATCCGCTCGGTGCCATACTCTTCTTCAACAATGCCCGTGATCCTCGGGGCCGCGTATTCAAATGGGTTCCCCCAAAATCAGGCTCTTATGTCAGCATAAATGCCGTGTTTTCTAGACTCTTTGTCGGAGCTCGATCGTCTTCGCATGGTAAACGTTATGATATAGATTACTTGATTAAAGTTGGTTGCCGATAGCTTTCCTCCCACTGCTCGTTGTCCGTTGAAAGTATGCTCGTCTTTGGGATTGAATTTTGGGCAGGTGATTTCCCGCCCGCAGGTTCTAATGAGACTTCGGCTAAACACAAGGTGCGACAGCTGAATCTGGGACTCATCTTTAGTTGTTTCTTTGAATTCTTTCTGACGTTAGTTTTACAATGAAATGGTCAAATGTTAAAGTTTCACGAGGTTCGTGCTAGTATGAGTTTATATGCTTATGTGCATTCTTATGGTGATCCACTTCTTGTTCTTTTTTTTAATGTCTGCAAATTGCAAGTTTTCTCTCTGTCGAGGATTGCCTTTGCCTTTGCTATCCGTAAGTAATCATCGATGCACACAAGTGATGTTTCTACATTGTTAAAGAGTGTGCATTGGTCACATTGGTGTTCGTTCATCTTGTGATCTGCACAATGAAATGGAGGACCGTGAAACATCAACTAGCTCTCCTCCTTCTCCTCCCCTTGTTTGATAAGAGATGTTTCTTGGTTAGACACTTAACTGCTGGTCCCCATTGCTTGATGTGACTGAGAGATGAAATAGAAGAGAGAAAAGAAATGGAATATCTTATCTCTGTCTTTTACGTAATTGGTGCTGACGCTGGTAGTCACAATGTGCCAGAAGTTTGGCTGTTGAAAGCTGTCTGGTCCATTAATGGATTAATCTTTTACATGTTTCCGACCCCCTTGCGTTGTGAAGAAAATAGGCTGCATGACAGAACTATCTCGATAGTGGACATAACCAGGACTACTGCATAAGAGTGAAACATATATGTAAAGTAGTACATTATTTTTCTTGGTAGAATCTTGACAAAATAGATTTATTTCTTCTATAAATTTATCATCATTTTCCGCAATATTATTGCCCTTGTCTTATATCATAACCACAGGGGATGCGTCCTGCCTCCACCTTTGCTTATTCAGGCAGCTGAATTTATAATGTCATAGTTTGTGTGGGGAAAGTTTGTAAAGATAATTGGCTTGCTTTTCCTGAGTAAACAAATAGCTGAGAATCATAGTTTGTATAAGTGCATTTTTTAACTTCAGTTCCATGTATTGATAGGCAACATTCAAGGACAATTATCAAGTATCTGTTTTATATTCTGTAGGTCCCACCACCTTGGATGATAAATAGATGACAATTCTAAACCCACAAATTTTTTTAACTTCCAGATTTGGGAAGGAAGTGTGGGGTGGAGTTTTTTAGGATGGAAGTGTAAGGTGGAGAAATGCTGGGTGTGCTAGTTTCTGTCATTGACTGTGCCCTTGATGAATATGACGATTTATCCCTCCTTCTCATTATTTATGTTGACCTCTGGTTTCCCATTAGTGACTCACAGTATGTCCTTTCTCTTTAAACATGCCATATGAAGGTATATGTAGCACAATAGAGGTTAGAGAAGGGACAACATTGGAACGTTGCTAAATTCATAACGTCATTTAAAAAAAAAATACCATGAGCGAGTGCCTGTGGGCCACTAGTCAAGTAATTCAACAAGGAAAATTTTCAATCTTCAAGGCATGTTTGTTCTTATGATATGCATATTACATGTTTTGAAAAACCAAAATCCTCCTCATTAAGTAAGTTATGACAAAAAAAAAGAAGATGGATTCTTTTAATGTCATCAGACTTCTTCACGGTATGCTTATTTTTTATATAATGGAAAGTGTTAGAAGTATCAAGGGCAAAGTGGTCTTTAGGATTCTTAGGGTTTATTGGGTTACCATTGTATAAATACTTTATTTTGCTGAATAATAAATCAACTTTTCCTCTCTAACATGGTATCAGAGCAACAAAAATTCTAAACCCTAAACAGCCGCTTACCACCGTCTACCCCTAGTCGCCGCCGTGAACCATCCACCGTCGACCACCAACCAACCCCCTTCAATCAACCCTCTTCTCACCGGAATCTTTAGATCTCGCGTTGCCCAGGCCCGGCGAGCCTTGCCGGGGCGTCATCTAGGCCGGCGAGCCTTGCCAGGGCGTCGCCTAGGCCCGGCAAGGCCAGA